ATTTTCTCGGAGGTTACTACCGGGGTAGAGAGGACCCGAGATGACCGCTCTACGGGTGCGGTTGTCTGCCCCGATTTTGATGTTGGTTATTGTGCTAGCGATGACTGGCGCCTTAGATAGGAGAAAGTCTCGTTCTTTTGCACTGTGGAGTTCCACGAGCAGAGGTCGACTGGTAAGGAGGCCATCCTGTTTGGTGGGACCCATTTTCCCAGCCTGTGTGCTCGTTTCCAAGTCATTTTGGGGTGACAACCGGCGTNCGCAGCACACTCAGAATGAGTGTTTTCTCTGCGGCGATCCGTTGAGCGGTGTTGGAGATAACTGGCTCTGGAGCGTGAATTATCACGTTGCGCGTCCTGCCTAAGGTGGTCCCGTACGACGCGTGAAGCTCCTGGATCTCTATGAGTTGCCTCTGTATGTGGCGAGCCAAGTTCTTAATTCTAAATTCTTGTATCTCGAGTCGAGAGATAGCTGCCTTGAAACCATCAGGCGGAGCACTCATCTGAAAACCTGTGGGTTGCCGATTTACTTTGCGGCTCTCCTTTTTGGGCTTGGGGTTTCCTCTGTTTTCCCTGATCTCCTTAGGATTTGTCTTGTTTCTATTGAATTGTCCAGCACTTTGAATCGGTTGATGAGTTGAAGCAGGCGCGGTTGAATTTAGGGAACAGTTGTTTTGTTTTTTCACGACAGTTTGGTTCTGAGGGACAACCGTCGATTGACCCTGTGTAGTCTCTTCTACTCTGCTTCGATCGAAGTATGGCTGGTTCAGGCTGATTGCTGTTGTAAGTCTTCTTCGGACTCGCGGTGTGAGTCTTGGGTGTCGAGTAATCCAAAGGGCTCCTCAGAAGCGACGATTTACCGTGATGGTTGGGTGGTGTTTTTCGAGTAGCGTTGGTCGGTTGACCCGGTGGTGATTTGAGTGACGACTCGCTTACGCGTAGCATTTGCCTTTGCATGTCACCAGCATTATCCGAGGAATTCTGGCTGCCTTTTAATGCAAATTTTGCAATCTCTCGGCATCCTGACAGATCCACAGAAGATCTGCGTAGTTGCTGTATAGTTTGAATAGCTCGCTTGAGAGCTTCGAGCAGGTTTTGTGTGCCCAATGATCACATATGCTGCATTCTATACCTGTGACTACCCATCTATCACACGATACATTCAGGCACGGATAAGACACACGTGGCATGGTAAAAAGGCTATGACAATCGAAAAAATATTAAATATGTTACCACCAGCTTCAAAAGAGTTTACGCAATGTATGAGGTGTACGGAACACGACGCTCAAAAAAAATGACAAAAACGTTTAACCTGCTACGAGTACAATATAGCAACGCTGAAATAAAGACCTTAATTATGCTACTACACTAATATAGGATAACTAAAGATTAAAAAATTCAAGACTTATCTACCACGACAAAAATTCGAACCACGCGGTCAAGGTCAGTTCAGTTCACCGGCTGTGCAGGGGTATGTCACCGCACCACCATACTCAAGTCTTGGTCTGACATCGGAAGCGTACAGCAGCCTGAAAGCGTCCATCATAGCTGGTTGAAAGACCGCCGAGTAGGCCTGCGCTAGCACAGACCTGATCGGTGTTTTCTCGGTTTTTATTGATGACGTAACCATAACACCCAGGTCTCGTTCGCACGATGTTCTGCACAATGTGGTTCCCTGGAAGTTGTAGACTACCTCTGAGTCATCAAGCCCCAAGTGCAGGTGAGCACACTTAGCTGTGTTGACTGAAAGAGCCCAGGTGTCCGCCGACTGAGCCAGGTTGTTCAAATCCGCTTGAAGAGAACTTAGATCATTCGGATCCTTGATTGTAAGCCAGATTTTGATGCCATGCGCATACATGAGGGATGGGCTGCACAGTTGACCGGGCAGGTTGCTCAAATAAACCACTAAGAGCAACGAACCAAGAACTGAGCCTTGGGGGACACCCTGGGAGCGGAATACCACGCAGAGAGCGATTTGCCAACACGGACGCAGAATTTCCGATAGATGAGGAAGTCTTGCAGTCAATTCCGCATTACCACACCTACACCTAGGTAGGACAGGCTTCGCAGAACGAGGTCGCGCAGCACCTTGTCGAAGGCCTTGCTGAAGTCCTCGAAGAGCATTTCCGTTTCGTGTCCTTTGGCCTTGTCCTCGGTCCAGCATTCACGTGCAAGTAGCAGATTTGATAGGCATGAGCGACCCGGCCGGAAACCGAGTTGTTGGTGGCACAGGTGACCGTGGCACACCAAATGCTGCCAAAACCGTGCAGGCACCAGTCACTCCACTACTTTACCCGCAACGCTATTAAGGCTGACTGGTCGGTAGTTCCCAGGGGCACTCCTATCCCCAACTTTGGGCAGTGGAACAATGGCAGCGTCCTTCCACTGCCGCGGTAAACGCACTTGAGTGAATGACAAACTGAACAGGTTGCACAGTGACGCTGCAAGTTCTTCTGCCAGCTCCTTCAGGATCAGTGGATGCATGACATCAGGTCCAGGTGAGTGGTGAACCTTTAGTTGGCGCAGCTCCAAGGCCACCTCTCCGATGGTTAATGGGGCCCATTTCAGCGCAGTGTCAGTGTCCAGTAGATGTATCAGTGTGCCGGAGGCTGAGGCGTACATTGAGGCATAATATGATGCCAGCATCTCCGCTTTGTCCTCATCTTTTTCGGCTAATGCCCCATCTTTGGCGAGAGTCGGGAGATCAGGCGTTGGTTTGATTCTTCGCCTGAGGTAGGCATATGATTGCTTTGGTGCTTGTACTGCATCCGCTGCTAGTCGTTCCTCGAATCTGGTTGTTTTGCATTTTTGTAGTGCAGTACAATGATACATCGATATTATTAATATCCTGCGCCTGTTGCACGGTACCTGGACCAGGCTTTATTCCGTTGCCGGAGGTACGCCCGCAGTTCTCGGTCAAACCACGGCGGACCCATAGCTTGTGTTCGGTGGCGATGAGGTGGAGAGAATTCCAGTACGAGTTGCTGGATTCTATGACGAACCAACTTCCAGGATGGTAAGCAGTTGTGCGGATGCGTTCCGTACCCAGCAATCGTGTTAGCGAAGTGAATAATTCTGATTCGAATTGTGCTCCTCTGTCGGTCGTGACAGTAGAGGCACAATCGTAGAGTGTTATCCATCGTTCTACGAAATTTCAAGCCACTGCTTCGGCCGTGACAGTGGAGATGGGAATAGCCTCGGGTGATCTAGTGAACCCCTCAATACACGTGAGTAAATGGGTGTGCCCGTGTGGTAACAGACCTACAGTATCAATGTGCACGTGATCAAAGGGAGCGTCAGGCGTAGCAAACGCACCAATGGGTGCGAATACGTGCCTATGTACTTTGGATCGTTGACACTGTAAACACTGTTCAGCCCATATTCGAACGTGCTTATTCATGGATGGCCAGACGTATCGTGTAGCAATCAAACGAAGTGTTGTTGCGATGGCTGGGTGTGATGAACCATGTAAGGTGTCGAAAACTAAACGACGATAAAATGAGGGTACTACAGGTCGAGGTAGGCCTGTGGACATGTCACATAAGATGGTACCGTTAGTAGCCGTTAACGGTATCGCCTGACATCATGAAGAAGTTGAATGGACCGACTCTTCACAAGATGAATCATTTGCCTGGGCGTCAGCCATAGCACTGATATCTAAAGGAGACTTCATAGCATTAATGTGAATACGTGATAAAGCGTCCACAACACCATTTTACTTGCCGTCGACATCCTGCATTTTAGTCGTGAACTGTGATATATAGTCTACGTGTCCGGTTTCTCGAGGTGAGTAACGGTCAGACTTAGTATGCAAAGCATAGGTAAGAGGCTTATGGTCCGTATATACGGTGAAATCTCGACCTTCGACTGCGTATCTAAAATGCTTAATGGCATTGTAAGCTGCCAGCAGCTAGCGTCCAAAAGCACTACATTTGGTTTCTGTGAGTGTAAGGCGTCGAGAGTAAAACTCAAGAGGTTTCAAAAACCCAGAAACATACTATTGCAAGATTGCTCCAAGTGCAAAGTCAGAGGCGTCAACCGCTATACTAAGCGCGGCTGATGGTGCAGAATGCAAAAGCAGCGTGGTCTGCACTAAATAGGTCTTTACCTCTTGGAATTCTATTCATGCGGTATCCGTATGCATGAGCTTACGTGGATTACCACGAAGTAGATACGTAAGTGTTTGCAATCGTTCAGCGGCGTGTGGGATTATTCGTCCATAGAAATTCAATAAACCCAAAATCGCCTTCAGGTCTTTGACTGAGGATAGTAAAGTGTACTCTCTGATAGCAC